TGTTACACCACCATCAGTTTTCTCTTGATTAATCTTTGAAAGGATAGTATCAGCTGGATGAGAAGCTAAAGAAGCTACTAAACCAGAAATGGCACCAGTTGTTAAGATGACACCTAATTTTTGTTTATCTGAAAGATCCTCTCTCTTTATGTTTCTACTTGATGCTAAATACTTGTAGAGATAATCATTTGCCAATTCATAAGTTACAAATTGTGATGCTGTATAAGGTACTTGTTTGAGAATGATTGGAGTTAAACCTTTGTAGAAACCTTTAAATCCTTCCTCTTTCAAAATTCTATTAAAACCACCGAAAAATCCGCTAGCAAAAGTTGGATCTGATACTTGACGAATACGAACAGCCTCAAATGGACATAAGGCAACATCACCAATTGTCTCAGCAATTGCTGATGCTGTTACCCAAATTGGAATTCTGTAGGCTTTAGCTACTTCTTCAGAGAATTGTGATGAGAATTTCTTCTTTAATACATCGTATAATCCAAATTTAAAGAAACCTTGAATTGCATAACCATAGGTGGTTGCTCCTAATCCCTGTAATAACATACCACCTCCCTCTTGTTTAACTATAGTTTGCATACTCTTTATCATACCTTGACTATATTTAATTTGATCAATTTGAATTCTGGTTTTAACTACATCCATTGGTACTACAACTACATGTGTAAAACTACATCCTAAAGCTCCTCCCATACCACATTTTAAAAAATGTTGAAATGAAATCTTTGAATCATTTGGTGCTGTTGTCATTTCTGAATATATTTTATTATTATTATTTTATTTTTATTTTTTTTTTTTTTAAAAAATAATTTATTTAATTTTTCGCTTGAATTAAATAAAATTTTTTGTATGAATGAATTGGTTTTTTTTTTTATTATTATTATTATTATTGTTATTGTTTAAAATATTTTTATTTGTAATATTACAATTAAGCAAATTAATAACAAATAATTAACTTTTAAAAAAAAATATCTTTATTGATTTGTTTGAATTATTATGTGTGGTGTGTGGTTTTTTTTTTTTTAAAAAAAAATAAATATATATATAAAAAATTATTTTTTATTTTGTTTATCTTTATTTTAGAAGAAAAAAAAAAAAAAAAAAAAAAATATCAAATAAGATTGTAGGGTTGTGTTTTCGAAATTTACTACTAAGAGTTTAAATTTGAAATTTACTTAGTTTTTATTTTTTTTATACTAAAAAAAAAAAAAAAAAAAAAAAAAAAAAAAAATTTTAAAAATTTTTTTAAAAAAAAAAAAAATAATTTCAAATAAAATTAAAAAAAAAATAAAATTTTAAATATCATGGCATATGATGATCGTCAAAAAAATAAAATACAAAAGCCGACAAACATTTTTCACTCCATATTAATTAATTAATTAATTTTAAATTAATTAATTAGTTATCACGCCATCTTTTTTTTTTTTTTTTTTTTTTTTTTTTGAAATGATTTTTTTTTGAAACGATTTTTTTTTGCCACTGGTTATAATTATCTTTAATTTTTATATTTGAGTAGAAAATAATAACAATAAAAAATTATAATTGGCATGTAGTTTTGTGCATTTAAAAATAAAAAAATAAAAAAATTTTATTTGAGCACTTTTTTGAGAGGTTGGTCTGTAACATCGCCTCTTACCTAAAGTAGATTTATTACGACCAAATAGATTTTTAATAGTTTCACGTATTGAATTTAAAATATCATCAACTATGATTTCATCATCAGATACTCTATTCAAAGTTTCTGGATGAGGTGTGATAAAAAAATAAGATACCTTTTGGTCAACAAAACTTAAATCACCTAAAACTCTTTCATTATCTTCCAATTATAAATCTAAAACGCCAGACTGCGACGCATTTTTTTTTTTTTTTTTTTTTTTTTTTTTTTGAATTGTGATAAACATTAATGTTTTTGGTAAAAAAAAAAAACAAAAAAATAAAGAGAATAAAAAAATCCCAAACCTAAAGTTTATAGTTTCATTTTTTTTTTTTTTTTTTTTTTTTTTTTGGGTTGATAATAATCATTAGAAAAATGAATGATATATCCTAATATAATGTATTTATTATTTTACCAATAATACTATTACAAGGAATCATTATAATTAAATTTCAATTTTGGAAAAAAAAAAAAATATATTTTATTTATTAATTTAATTTAATGAGGACTTGACATTTTTTTTTCCCATTTTTTTTTTTTTTCAAACTTTTTTCATTTTTTTTTTAAATTTTTTTATCATCTTTTTATTTTTTTTATTTTTTTTATTGATAATGTTTACACAACAATGTTATCATTTGCAAATAGAAATTTAATAAAATATACAAATGTATTATTTAAAACAATCATAAATAGAAGTACAGTAACTCCAATTAGATTAATAACAACCAATAATAGGAGAAACAACAACTACAACAACAACAACAACAACAACATCAATATCAGCATCAACAACAATAACAACTACAAAAACAACAAATACAAAAATAATAACAACAACAAAAACTTCATTAGCAATGAAAAAAAGGGGAGCAATAGAAGTAATATTAATGTGGGATTATTAAATATTCCTGAATTAGTGACATTACAGGGATGGCCTAATATATTAAAAAAGGCCATAGATAATATTGACCATATTTACTCACGACTATTACCAGTTCGAATTAAAGATAATTCAACACTTACACAATTAAAGGAGGCATTATATCTATTTGATGAGATTTCAAAACAAATATGCAATTTTATGGATGCAGCACAGTTTGTTAGGTACGCTACACCTGACAATCCAAATAGGGAAGCAATTTCTGCACTTAATGGAATGTCAGAATATCTCCAAAAATTAAATGAAGACTTTGATCTCTATAATATATTAATTGTGGTTAGAAATCATAGACTTTATGATCAGTTACCCGACGATCATAAAGTATTTATAAGCGAAATGATAAGAGAGTCAGAGTTGAATGGCATCAATTTGAAATTTAAAAAAAGACAAGAACTATCCAAAATAAAGGAACTAATTTCTGATCATGGTATAGAGTTTGTAAATACTAGTGCGAGAAATTCTACATCAACTACCAAGCTAAATGTTCCTTTCTCCTATTTGACTGATCATTTACCTCAAGAATACATAATGAGATTTCCAACAAAAAGACAAGATGGTATTGTACCACTCGTTGCAACCGAATATATGATGGATGGTATCTTAAGATATATACCCGATCCAAAAATTAGGGAGTCTGCTATTAAACTTCAATCCGTTTCAGATAATTACAATTATATATGTTTAAATTTGGTTGAGTTAATCAAACAACGTTTTCTACTTGGAAATGAGTTAGGTTTTCCGAATTTTTCAACTTATGAATTACAAAACAAATTATTAAATACTCCATCCAAAGTAAATGAATTTTTAAAAGTAGGTTTTTTTTTTTTATTATTCGTTTTTTTTTTTTAATTGTTATAGTTTTATTAATTATTATTTATTTCGATTATAATTTTTTTTTTTTTTACTATATAATAGAGTTTATCAAAAAAATATAAAGAAAAATCAGATAAAGAATTAAATAAATTAATTGAAATTAAAAAAAGAATTGAACCAGATAATCCAGATAATGATAAAATATTTACTTATGATTTGCAATTCTATAGAAATCAAGTGTTAAATGAATTTTATAAAACTCATTCATTGGATGATGTTTCAGAGTATTTTACATTAGGGAATGTTTTAAATGGTTTAAATTTACTTGTTAACAAACTATTCGATGCAAAATTAGTATTTGTAGAAATGGGTAAAGATGAAGGATGGAATCCATATGTATCAAAACTCCAACTATTAAGAAATGATGAAGCTGAAACACTCATTGGTACTATCTATTTAGATCCTTGGAAAGGAAGAGAAAAAGCTGTTGGTGGTGTAAATCATACAATTAGGCTTGGTTTTAAAAAACTTAATTATTTAACAGAAAATAGTAATGATGATGATGCTGATAAACCATTAGATAGTTTTTACAATACTAAAGAATATGAATTGCCAATATCCATAATTTCATGTCCACTTGAACAAAATAATTTGAATGAACAATTTGAATCAAGATTAGAACACAAAGACGTAGAGGTATTGTTTCATGAGTTTGGTCATGCATTGCATATCTTAATGTCTCGTTGTAATTTTCAACATTTATGTGGTACAAGAGGTCCAATCGATTTCGTTGAGATACCAAGTACATTAATGGAGAACTTTTGTTGGGATGAAGATTTTCTTCAACAATTTGCAATCAATTCAAAGGGTGAACCAATACCCATCGAAATGATTAGAACTCTAAAAAAGATTAGATCTCTATTCGAAGGTATTGATACTCAAGAACAAATTGCATATGCAATGTTTGATTTAAATTTACACTCCATCACAACCAGTACAAATAGATTCGGTATTGATGATAATAATAAGTCACTTCCTCAAGTTCTAACCGAAATTTATCAAGAATATTCGGGTATTCACGGTAGAGTTTCAAATAAGTTTTTAATCCATTTTAATCATCTCTATTTTTATGGTTCCACTTATTATAGTTATCTTTTGGCAAAGAATTACAGTAACAATATTTGGGAAAATCATTTTGGTTCAGGTAAGCAATTAACTCTCGAAAAAGGTCGATACTTTCAACAAAATTTTTTGAGACCAGGTTTTTCACAAACTCCTCTTTCAATTTTAAATAAATTCATAAAATAATTAAATAATAAAATAACGAAAAATAAAAAAAATAAATAAATTGAAAAAAAAAAAATAAACGTTGCTTAATCAATAACGTTGTGGTTTTTTGGCGAAACCATTTTTCAGTAAAAAAAAAAAAATTTTCAAAATTTTTTTTTTTTTTTTTTTTTTTTTTTTTCGGCTTTTTAAATAAAAAATTTTTCATTCCTTTTTTTTTTACGACAACCAAACAACAACTGTAAGCATTATTATCATAATTCATTGACCTTTTTATTATTATTATTTCCAATATGATGAAGTACTTCAACTCAGCTCTATGAAATCTGTGATTACTCAATTGATTTCTCACGACAGTCTTCTGACATTATTAATAATAATAAAAAAAATTTTGTTTTATGTTCAAAAAATTAAAATATTAATTATTTTTTTTTTTTATTCTAGTTTTTTATTTTTTTATTCGCAGGTATTGAGTCTTCTGTTTTTTATTTATTTTTTTCTCTCTAAGGTAATTATCTTTAAAAGCTTTACACACAGTTACCAATACTTTTTTTTAAAAAAATGATAAAATTAAGATGATGAAGTAATTCAACTCAGCTCTATGATTTCTGTGATTACTCAATTGATTTCTCACGACAGTCTTCTGACATAATTTTATCATTTTTTTTAATAATGTGTTAATGGTTAACTTATATTTTTAAAAAAAAATTTAAAATTCATATTAATTTTTTTTTTTTATAAAAAATAAATAATATATGGGCTTGTGTTTGTAATTATAGGTTTTCCTCAATAATTTTATATCAAATTATTAATAGTGTTTTGACATTGTTGTTAAATTTTAATTGGTAAATATCTTATATTTTATTTATTTCACTATGGGGTTGTATTTAATGATGAGTATCGGACACTTTTGAACTTAATTGAAAACGAAACACGATTAATTGCGTTATCTAAATTTTCCTCTGACATAATATAACCCCATATTAAACAAATAATTTACTCGATTCTTTGGTACATCATAATTAATCGTATAATTTACTAATATTTTCCTTTCTTTTATAATATTCAGAGTTTGAATTTCTTTTCTTTTCTCTATTTTTTTTACCTTTTTTGAAAAAAAATTTAATAAAAAAATGTTTTTAATTCTTTTTTCCTTACAAATCCATTGTCTTAAATTTTTTTATTTTATTAGTGTGTTTTTAAATAAAACGTGGTGACCACATTTTTATATATTTTTTTTTAAAATTTTTTTTTTTTTTAGTTTTTGTCTTAATAATACCACCCATTGCACATTAATATTTTTTTTCTTTTTTAGTGAAAGTGGTGTAACAAAAAATTTAAAGTGTATTAGTTTTTATTATTTTTTTATTTTATTTTAAAATAAATCAATCAAGAATTCAGTGGTAATTTTTCTAACCACTTGAATTTATTCTTTAATTATTCATAAACCAATGAATTAATTGTTAGCAACTTATGTTCCTATCTATGCAACGCACAACCCAATTGGGAATTATTGGAGGAATAAAAAAAAAAAAAAAAAAAAATATGGTTAACCAATTAGAAAATGATAAAAAATAAAAAATTTAAAATAAAAATGGATTCAAAATTATTTTTATTTAATAATAATGAGATATATAAAAAAGGAAATTATTAAAACTACAGTAAATGAGTCTAGAGAGGTGGAAAATAATAAAAATACATTTTAAAGATTTACAAAAATAAAAATAAAAATAAAATAAATTAAAATTAAAACAAAAAAAAAAATATAAAAAGATTTTTTTTTGTTTACTTTTTTTTATTTCTTTTCATATGCAAAATAATATTAAAAAAATAATTTGAACAAAAAAAAAAAAAAAAAAAAAAAAATGTCATTATTCAGTATGTATATGCAAAATAATATTAAAAAAATAATTTGAAAAAAAAAACAAAAAAAAAAAAAAAAAAAAATTATTTAATATTAATATTAATATTATAAATAGAATCATTAACTTCAATTGGTAACAATAAAAATGGTTCAAAGAAAAATGATGTCCTTAATAACATAGAAAATTTAAATTTCAAAAACCAATCAAACAATGAATCATCAAAATGGACAGTGCCACAATATTGGATTGTTAGTTATAATTATTATAAAGTTATTGCTCATTGTTAGGAAAAAAAAAAAAAAAAAAAAATTAAAATAAAAATCACTATATTTATTATATAAATTATGTTTTTTTGATTTTTTTCTCTTAAATAGTCAAAAAATTCAATCTCTCTGTCTTTGGAATTTATTATTATAATTTTATTTGAAAAAATAATTATTAAATTTTTTTTTTTTTCAATTTCATTCCCCCTTTTTTAAAAAAAAAAAAAAAATTCAATTTCTTTTATAATATTATTTTAATTTTATTAATATGCACGATATGACCATAATACTACCATTATATTTACAAAAATTTATAATAAAATTATTGTGTAAACATATTGATAAACAAAATAAGATATTGGAAATTATTACAGATCTTGACTCAGAATATAGAAAGAATGAGGCGATCAACAAAAAGTTAATGTTATCATTGGCATTGGTTTGTAAAGATTGGTTTAAAACATTATCTAATAATTTAACTGTAGCAGTTGATTTTAATTATAAGGATTCTTATCAACCTACTGAGAATAACAAAATCAATAATAATAATAATAATAATAATAATAATAATAATAATAATAATAATAATAATAATAATAATAATAATAATAATAATAATAATAATAATAATAATAATAATAATAATAATAATAATAATAATAATAATAATAATAATAATAATAATAATAATAATAATAATAATAATAATAATAATAATAATAATAATAATAATAATAATAATAATATTAATAATAGTAATAATAGTAATAGTAGTAATAATGGCGATAATATAAATGATATAACCAAAGTAATGGATAAAGAGAAGAAAACTTTTTTTGAAAAGCTATTTGGTGGGAAGAAAGATAAATCAAATGCAACCCCTATCTATTCAAATGGTATTGCTAATTGTAGTAATGATGATGGTACTAGTGAAAAATTCTCAATAATTAAAAGAGAGAATATTAAAACCATTAAATTACATTATGATTATAAAAAACCATACTTTTATAAAATAATTGGCCCTGGTGGTGGTGGTTTAACTAGAGCTCCAGAGGGAGAGAAAGAAATATCAATAAATGAGATTAATGATAGGTTTGAAAGTTTAATAAATTATCAAACAGAACTATTACAACAACAACAACAACAACAACAACAACAACAACAACAACAACAACAACAACAACAACAACAACAACAACAACAACAACAACAACAACAACAACAACAACAACAACAACAACAACAACAACAACAATGTAAATTACCAACAATACCATTTAAAAGATTATTAGTTAGAAATATAAATATTGTTAGTTTTATTGATAGTGTTGATCAATTAGTTATATTTAAACTAAGGGAGAATAATATTGTTAAAAATAACATTCATTTGTTGGAGTTAGAAATAAATCAAACCAGTAGTATGAATGATTTGGAAATATTAAAGAAAAGAGTACCAAAATTATTTTCATTGTACATTCATTGTTGTTCTGAATCAAAGGAGTCAATAATAAATGAAGCTTTTAAATTTTGGAATCACTCATTGAATCAATTATTTATCTCTCAAACACCGAGAATACTTCAAATCTTTTCAAACAATGCTCAAATGGTATCAAATGTTAGGTACCTTGAAATATATGATTCTGATATCACTTTAAAAAATTTAACACTGCTTTTGTCTCCATCAGTGTTTCGACGTTTACATCATTTATTTGTTGGTATTTGTATAAGAAAATTGGTGTATTGTCTTTCCGATCAACAGGACAAACGTTCTGATTGTATGTGCACTTGTTTTACACCATTGTCCTCAATTAATAATAACTCTTGTTACTTGGAGTCATTTGATAAGGATTGGCTAGAACTAAAGGAAATGATCACCATAACCAATAAACAATTATCATTGGAATCATTGTTCATTGGCAATTCATGTACTACTTTCGGTGCTTCTTTACTTTGGACTTCGGATAGATTCAAAGATTCCTTTATTACTAATTTCACCTCCTTTTTATCTTGGATATCGCCATTAAGGAAATTTTCTATTTATGGTGGTGATAACTCTATACTACTCTTTAATATAATTGAAAAATTGAAAAATATAGTTTATTTCGAATCAATTGTTGACCAAATTTGTGGTACAGAAGAAGATTATAAATCTAATATCAATTCCTTCATCTCTAAAAACCATCATATTAAACAATTTAAACTATTAAAACTAACTGTCAGTAGTACAGGTTTCTCAAAAAATTCTCTAATTGATTATAATAAATAATATATTTTTTATGCATCTCTTGGTACAATGTGCGGAGCAATAAGCAATTGGTTGAAATCTATGATTTTTTTTTTTTTTTTTAATATTATTGGGATTAGAATTTCTAACCACCTGTTATTATTTTTGTTAATTGTATACCACTTTGCTATATGTAATGTGGTTTTTAAGTGTTATTTGGAAGTATGATATTGTACCTCTGGCTAAGGTTGTTAGTGGTACGCGAAGCAATTAGTATTGTTCAGGTGCGTGGCCTTGGTTCGAACATTAGGTCATGAGGTGTGTTATTTATGACCTAAGGCTCGAACCAAGGCCACGGAGAACCACTACGTATAGCCTCCAATAATGAGGGTTTAATTATGACCACGTTACTTGTACTCGTGGTATGACCAAGACTGATCCCAAGGTCTTGGCCACGGAGGCTTGTGATTCAGCATGGAACCACTACGCTAAGCCCCGGTTTTGATTGTGGTGATGGTAGTTAGGATCTGAAGGAGTCGAACTCACGTCTTCACTACGGGTTTCTACAAAATTATGCGTATGCTGGGAATCGAACCCAGTTCGCATCCGTGGCAGGGATGCATCATACCACTAGACCACATACGCTCTTTTTATGAAAAAAAATTTTAAATAGAAAATTTGGAAATTATAAAATCTCTTTTTTTTAAAAAAAAAAAATAATAATAATAACTGTGTATCGTTAAATTTAAATATCAATTGAAATGTAAATAAAAATTATAAAATGATCGAATAAAAAATAGTTTTTTAGTCAATCATTTTATAATTTTTATTTACATTTCTCTTTATTATTTGCATTTGATATTTTTAAATATTAAAAAACTAAACTATTCTTTTTAATATTATCAGAAACTATAAAAAATTTTAAAGATCTTGGTAAAAATGATTCATTGATTGGATGTGAATAACGTGGGCAATTTAATTCTAAGTGTATCAATGAAGATGGTAGTACATTTTCGTTGATTGGACTATTAAAAGAACCTTTAGAAAAATCATTTTTAGAACCAAATTTAAGTGTACTAATTGATGATGGTAAAGATCCTTCTAATAAAATTTGATTAAATCTATTACCAAATATTAAAACTTTTAAAGTTTGTGGTAATACATTTACAGGAATTTGATTATTAAAATTATTACCAAATTCTAAGTGTACCAATTTCGATGGGAATGAATTCACTAATAGTTTTTGATTAAAAAGTGGTGAAAAAGTTATTCTCTCTAAATGAGTTGGTAAAGAATTTGATAAGATTAATTTATTAAAAACTAAACCAAAATTTAAATTAATTAATGAATTTGGTAAAGAATCATTTATAAATGTTATATTATCTGAAGAGTTTATTGGTTGAATGTGTCTATTGAAAATACCTAAATTTAAAGTATTTAAATATTTGGGTAAGAAATTCTCCTTAATTATATTATTAAAACCTTTTTTATTAATTCTACCAAGTGATAATGATTTTAAACTAATTGGGAATAATCCTTCTTCAATATTGTTTAATCCGTTTTCAAGACAATCTAATTCTATCAATCCTTCTGGTAATGAACCTTTTAAAATTTTAAAAGATTCATGATGAACTCTAATTTTTAGTGATTTCAATGATTTTGGTAACATATCTTTATAAAGACAATGAATTGATTCTACATCGATATCCAATTTCGTTACTGATTGTGGAATTGAATTTAATTCTAAACAGAGTGATTTTGACTTAATTGTAAAAGTATCTATAGTTAAAGTATAGAATGAGGTTGATTTAAAATGAAAATCTTCATTTGTTCTTGATATTGTTAATTTTTTTAAAGTTTTTGGTAATAAATCAGAAGTAAATTTTAGATGTGAAATTGTTAAATCTGTTAATGATTTAGGTAATACATCAACACTGGAATAACAACTTAGTTTACCAAGTTTTAATGTTTTTATAGATTGAGGTAATATATTTTTTTTCAATTGATTACAATCATTTCTCCAGCGTTTTCCTAAATCCAAAAATGTTAATGATTGTGGTAAAACATTTTTTTTTATTTTCCGATTAAACCATGAATTAAATGTTAAACTTGTTACATTTGCTGGAATTTTAATTTCATATTTATTTCTAAAACTTAAATTTTCAAAGGTAGTAACCGATTTTGGAAAATCTTTTAAATTTACATTATTAATGTTTCTTAAATTTGGGAATATAACTTTTTCAACTGTATTTGGTAATGAGTTAGGGTCAATTTGTTTTAAAATACTTATTTCCTCATTATCTGGCATAGAAAAACCAAAATTAAAATTCCCAACTTCAAATGTTTTCAATGATGGTAATGAATAGTTTTGTAAAGGTAATATTTTAGATCCTTTATATTTTATTTTACTAATATAGTCAAAAAATTCTTTATATTTTATTATTTCTTTTGGATCTGACCCAATTTCAATACTATTATACTCTCTATATAGTGCTAAATTTGAAAATATTAAATGATTTAAATATTTATTACGATAAACTTTGAAAAACAAAATTTGATTATTTACAAAATTATCATTTATATTTAACATTGTGTGTCTATATATAAAAAATAATAACAAAAAAAGTGTTTTGAAGTTTAATTTATCCTTTTTTTTTTTTTTTTTTTTTTTTTTTTTTTTTCTAAAAAATTTATCAAAAACAAAAGATGTAAAAATTTTGAGTGGGAGTATATTTGGTTTTTTTTTGATAAATTTTTTATAAAAAAAAATAGAAAAAAAAGAATAAATTAAACTTAACATAATAACCCATTTTGGATTTGTTGTGTTTAATTAATTTTTTAACAAAAAAAATAAAAAAAAAAAATTATAAAAATCAATTCATCAACAATTAATTTGGAGAATATTACCACGCTAAGTTAACAGTTTTTTTTTTTTACCTATGAATACAATAAGTTAACAGTGCTAATTGGTTTCGGCTAAGACAGTGTTTGGGGAAGCAAATAAAGCCGATCTCTTTTTTTTTTTTTTTTTTTTATTCAATATCATTTTGCTATTTGTAATGTGGTTTTTATTTTTAAGTTTTTTGTGTAGTTGGGAAATGTGATAATTTCCGAACTTCCGATTTTCTTTAGCGAGTAAAATTACACCCATTGTGGGTCTCGATCCCACGACCTGCAGCTTAGAAGGCTGCCGCAATTCCAACTTTGCTAAACGGGCAATTTATATTTTTACTAAAAAAATTACTGAGAATTATATTTAGGATTTTTTTTAAAATAATAAATATTAAAAAACAATCAAAAAAAATATCTGGCATTTAAATGGAAAAAATTATAAAAAATTTTTTCATAAAAACTAAAATTATCAACCAAAAAGGTGCTGGTTTTAATTGTTAACACCCGTATCAAATATTAATTTTTGTAATTAATACCCAATTTAACTCTTTTTTTTTTTTTTTTTTTAGAATGAATATCACAGTTTTTTAGGCTATAATAAATAATAAAATAACTCAATTAAATAATATAAAATATATTTATTCGAAATCGGTTAACTAATTTTTTCAATACTGGTGATGTCATAAAAAATACATGTAAAAAAAAATGAAAAAATATTGAAGATATTTAGAAGGTTGCTCGAAAAAAATTAAAAGGTTCTTTTGATTTTTTTTTCACGTTTTCAAATCCAAAAAATATCTCAAAAAAAAAAAAAAAAAAAAGAAAATTATGAAAAAAAAAAAAAAATTAGAAACGGTGGTTTTTTAAAAAAAAAAAAAAAAGAAAATTTTTTTTGTTTTAAAGTTCAAAACAAGCATTAAAAAAAAAGTAACAAAAAGAAATGAATAAATTCATATCATTAGTATTATTTCTGATAGTATTAATAAATGTTATTGCATCGCAATCATCATCATCATCAGATGATGTAATGCCAGTATTATTAACATTTTTCAGTAATGACCCAAGCAGAGATACATTATTTAAATTAAATAGGGTTGATTTGGAAGATGGTTCATTAAATATTACTATCTACACAAAATACACTGGATATGGTAAAATGTTAGGTGTTACAGGATATGATGGTGTTAATTGGTTTGATTATCAATTTAAAACTGATTCTGGTTCTTTTGATTTCTTTGATGGTGGTGTCTCTGATTTAGGTCAAGGTGACACATCTGCAGCTTGGTTAAATGCCGATTTCTATGAAACCCATCCAGCCATTGTTGACTTTAATCCACATCCAATAGGTATGGACGATGCTCGTAGAGAATATTTAAGTGTTGGCTGGTCAATGAAAACTCAAGAATTATTAATCCTTGGTTTCAATTATGGTAATTACAATATGTTCTTCTACTATAATTCCACTCAATATCAAGTTAGTCCAACCTATCAAAACTCTTTAACCCAATGTTATGATTATGATCAAAGTTTAATGTACATTAACTATATTAATCCAACTACAACTCAAAGACAAATTTTGGTTTACCAACCATTTAACCTTACCGATGCTTTATCAGTTGATGAATATTCATTCGAGCCAGGCACAGATCTTACTAAATCAACTGAATCAAATGTTTATCTTTTCTATTCAGCAATTGTTAATCAAAATGAAACTCCACTCTATATGGTTGAGGTCGCAAATGTTACAGGCACAAATTCAACCATCAACTTATTATCTGTTGGTTTATCTGCCACTGGTTACACCGCATCAAGTAATATTATCTTATCTTTAGATAACAGTTATGGTTCAAATATTGATGGTATTCCATTTTGTTACTTGGATCAACATCACCAATTTTTGATTTTATTATCAAAACCAACTTCAACTATGTCTTATACAATCACAACTGTTGATCTTATAAATAATTATAAAACAACATCAATTACAACTGATGTAGTAGATTTTTACAACTATGGTTTATATTATCAAGATAAATAACTTTAATACAAAACTTAATAAATAAAAAAAATTAATATATATATATTTTTTGGTATGATTGATAAAGTTGAAAAAAAAAAAAAAAAACAAAAAAAAAAAATAAAAGAATAAATTAAAGAAAAATTGTTTTTTTTTATCGACCGAAATCATATACATTTATTTATTTTATTTATTTTTTTTAAAAAAACCTAACCTTTAATAGTGAATGAAAAAAAAAGGAATTAGTATATATTTATTACAATGTTTTTTTTTTTTTTAAAAAAAAAATAACCATTTTAATATTTTGGATCAGAGTTTTTGGCTTAATAAAAATTAAAATCTTATTTTGTCAATCACAGTCGTGTCGGACGGGGAAAGAAATCATCATTTAAATTAAAGAATGGTTATTTTTTTTTTTTGAAGCTAATGAAAAATAAAGAACTTACAATTAATAAAGACAAAAAAAAAAAACGAGGAATCAAACAATAGAGGAACCTAAAAAAAATAAAAAAAGAAATTAAACTCAAAAAAGTGACCTAATCTATTGTAAATAAAATTATGTTAATATGTTATTTATATATATTTTAATATATAACCCAGTTAAATATTGGGTACAAAATAATTTTTTTTAAAGTTGTATAGTCAGAAGCAAAACTGGCGTGTCTTGTAAAATCCGAATCATCATAACATTGCAGACTTATCGGTAGTGTATCATCATTCAAAAAATACAACTTATTCATATATATATAAAATTTGTAACTTACATTTTGCCAAAGCAATGAATGAATTTTTTTATAAAAAAATTATCATTTTTATACTCGAAAAAAAAAAAAATTCAAAAAAAAAATTCAAAAAAATTCAAAAAAAATAAAAAATAAAAAGTAAAAAAATAAAAAAAAAACGTTCGGTAAAAAAAATTATGTAACGTGTAAAAAACTAAATTTAAATTTTTATTTAATTTTATCATTTTCCCCTTTTTTACTAAATTTAAAGCTCCCATATAAAAATTTTCGTTTTTAACATAATTTGCCACTTTGAATTTGTTGTGTTTATCAAATTTTATTTTTTTTTATTTTTTTTTATTTTTTTTAATTTTTTTATTTAATTTAAAATAAAATTCAATTTTTGTTAAAAATATTTTTTTCATTAATTATTTATGTATACATATTTTTTTTATTTTAATACTATTTTAAAATATGACAGACAATGGATACAGTGAAAAAAATGAAATGCTTTTTTGGAAGGTATTTCATAATAAATATATATTTAAAAATATATTTAATCAAATGGAGAATGAAATAATTGAATATGATAATATTGGTGGATATTATATGGGAAATAGACTAAAATTTAAAGATATTACATCATTGGAATGGATTATTAAAAGAAAACAAAAAACAAAACAAATATTATATGATAAGCTTATTAGTGATCAAGAAATTAAAATTTCAATTAACTCTATTGTTTTATTAATAGAGAGTTTTGATGAAGATAACGATGATAAAAAAGAATATATAGAGCATGATTGTGAAGAAGAAAAAGTCAATAATTGTAAAAACAACAACAACAACAACAACAACAACAACAACAACAACAACAACAACAACAACAACAACAACAACAACAACAACAACAACAACAACAACAACAACAACAACAACAATAATAATAGTAATAAAATTAATTATATTAATATTATAAGATTATTATTTAAAAAAAGGGAAAAGGAAATAATTCATTTAGTAGATCCAATCTTTTTATCTATAGAATTCAATAAACCTAAATTATTAAAACTATTTTTAAATGAATTCAGATATCCAATTCTACCATCAGTCTATGAATTAGCCTTAAAAAGAGCAGATCTTAATATCATTAAAATCATATTAGATGAAAAGATAACCACACTTAATAATAACTTGAAAAAAATGATATTAAAATCAATTTTTATAAATCCTAATAGTTCAACTATTATACCTTTTATTTTAAATAATTCAAAATTTTTTAAAAGAAATCAAATTTCTCATAACATTGATAAAAACAATAATGTGAATAATAGAAATATCAAAAAAACTAGTGATAATAATAAAAAAAATAGTGATAATAATAAAAAAAATAAAAATAGTAATAATAATAAAGAAATAAAAGAGTCAACTAATAGTTTAATTAAAATTAAATTTAATGATTTATTTAAAATTGAATCAAGAGAATTACAATATAAAATGTTAAATAATAATTTAGTTGAAATAGCAGATGAACAATCCGAACTCGATGATAATGAAATATTAAGAGTATTTCAAGAAAATGATAGAGAAGGATTGATATTTTATTTGAATGTAATATATAGATTGTGTCACACAAAGTTAATGTTTACAGCTAGATCTATACAACAACAACAGGAGCAATTGAATGATTTATCGATACAGCAACTATGTAGATTATTATTGATTGAAACTAAATCAGAGTTATTGTATTTCAACTATCTATTGGAGTACGATGAAATAGTGGATGGTGCAGTTGATAGTGATTTAATAATTTATCAATATACAATAACAGTGTTCAGTGTTAAGGGTTTGGAATACCTATTAAAGAAGTATAATAATATAGATAGTAATTTTTTTAAAGAGTCGCCAAGAAGATCCTTTACAGACTATAAAAACTCTAGAGAGTACATACTAAGAAATCAAAATAGGTTAATAGAATTTTTAAGATTTTATTACTCAAAGAAATCTTTAGTCTCTTCTAAATTAATTAAAGATTGGAAGAGTTTAACGGAATTTTTCATTATGAATTGTGATACCCATGTATTGACAACGATCTTTAGGGATATTCCTGGCTATCCTACTAAATTCTTTTTAAGTACAAATTGTAGGGAGATTAGTGATTTTAAAAGACATCAATGGTATATTGAAAATGTATTACGAACAATGCTAGATACACCACATGTGCAGTTTAGATACTATAATAGAATCCTTTATAAACTTACATCAGAACAAGATGTTGATTATATTTTAAAAAACTATGACTTTTATCAATACGAGTTGGATACTCTACGATACTTTACATTTTTAGATCAATTAGATTTAGCATTATACTTTGAGTCAAAAGCAATTGAATTAGATATTAAAGATTTGATTTTTGATAGAAATAGAATTTATTTTCAATGTTTTATAAATTATCTATCAATTGGTGATTTAGAAACTATTAAAAGAATTTCAAATTTAAATTTAAGATTTGATTTTATAAATTCTTCAATACCAATAATATCAACATTAATGATACAAAATTCAAAACAACAACAACAACAACAACAACAAGAACAACAATTATTTTCTTCAACTACAACATCACCAAAATTTTTTTCAGGTTCATTTTTTAGTATATTCTTACCACTTTTAAAAAATATTAAAGATGAATCAATAATCAAAACATTTTCATTTCTTTCAGAGAATAATTATAAAATTTTATCAAATCGTGGTTTTAATGAATTGGTATATAATCTATTTGAAAGATTTCCAGAAGATGAAATTGGTTTATTAAAATTGAATTTTAATCATGATCCATATGGTTCATTATTATTAGCAATTAATTTAATTATAAAAGGAGAGAAATTAAAAGAATCAAAACTTATATTACAACAATTGGATATTAATCTTTTTAAGGATGATAATTTGAAATTTAAATTTAAGAATGATGATGATGATGATGATGGCGATGTACCTCCAACAATTGATTATTCATTTATTGATGAAGATGATGGATTGATTACAAATGAAAAGTCAATTAAACAAATTTCCCATTACTCTGTTGAGCAAGTTTATTCATTCATTGAATTGTTGATCATTAAATTTAGATATCAATTGAAATCATTATTATCAAAAAGACCATATCATTTTTTATTCAATCATTTATATAATTTTTATTTACAAATTTATGGTTTACAATTGGGAGATATCGAAAGAATTGATAAACTATTCTTTGAAAATGAAATCAACATTTTTGTCGACCATTTTAAAATTGTTTATTATTTACACTCAAAGTCTTTAAAACTTGGTTATTATATATTATCAAGATTTGACTTAATTACTTGCTTTTCATACCTACCAAGTGGACAATTAAGGGTTCATAATATATTAAATGAAAGTAAATTTCCTATTCAATTAATTCAATCTTCAAATTATAAAAACTTATTATCAAATTTAATTGAATCTAACGAATCATCATCGAACCATTTACAACAAAGATATGAGGTTAAATTACTTTTAAAATTTGGTGAAATCGATTTATTATTTGATATGTTTTTAAATATTAAATTAAAACTTTCAACAGACTCAAACCAAAAAATCGATAGAATAATTGGTTTTGAAACAGTTGATTGTTGTTTTCAATATTTAAATTTTGAAAATTGTAAAAAATTTATTAAATTAAATATTTTATCTAAAAACTTATTAATAGAATCAATTTATAAAACCGATAAATTAAGTTTATTAGAATTTTTATTGGAAAAAAAAAAAGAAGAAGAAGAAGAAGAAGAATTTGTAAACTTTATAAATTATATTATAAATATTAATAATTTATATTATTTATTTGAATTTAATAGTTTTTCAATTATTAAATTCATTTTTAAAAACTTTGGAAATCAATTAATTAATTTCAATTTTAATAGAATCCTTAGTATAGTAGCTCTTAATCGTAATATTCATTTGTTAGAATTTATTGTAAATTTTTGTAAAAGATCTAAATCATCAATACCTTTAGAAATTGAAAAACCCGAAATTTCCAAATTGGTTGAATTTAGAGATTATTATATTTTATATTATTTATTTAATCAAGGTATTGGTGAAAATGAAATTAAAAAACAAATTAAAAGATCAAAACCATTGGATTATGTTTATTTAATTGAAAATAATTATTTCAAAAACTAAAATTATAATAAAATACAATTACACATATAGTTTTTTTTTTTTTTTTTTTTGGCTAGTTTTTATTTTTATTAATATTTTATTAAAATGATGATCTATTTTATTTTTAAAAAGTTTCATAAACAGTTGAGTTTATTAATGATAGGATTATATTTAACCCTTTGAATTCTAGAGTTTCTCATCCTTTAAATGAAATACCTTCATAAGTTTTTCAATATCTTTTAACTTAACACAATAACATCATCTTGTGTTGTTGTTACTATTGTTGTTGGTGATTCTTTCAATGTTTTTAATTAATTTCTTTTTTATCTAAAAACTCTACATTTCCTTTTAGCTTATATTCTAGTTATAACATATAAATTGTATAATTTTTTTAATTTAATTTTTTTTTTTTTGAAGTTTGTGAGTTTTATAACAAAAAATAAAAAAAATAAAAAAAAATAACACACATAAAAATAAAACACACATAAAAATAAAAAAAAAATAAAAAAAAAAAATTAAAAATAAATATGTGCACACAAATTTAAAATCTTTTTTGAGAAATTTATTTTAAAATGTGTAACCAGATTTGCAAAGATTTTTTTTTTCAACTATTTTTAGTGTGGCAAAATTTATTATTATTTTATTAATCAATCTGATTAAATAAAATTTTTTATTTATTATTTTTAAAAGTTTGATGGTAACCGATCGAAATAGGCTTCATATGTTAAATTTAAAGAACCTCCAAATTCAATTAAAACATTTGAAGGATCAATTTTTGAAAAAATGTGATCTCTTTTACAAATTTCAACTCTTGATATGA